TATAAAGTCAAAAAATAGTCTTCTCATTGCAAACTTTGATCAAGATGACGCGCTTAAGGCCTTTAAAGAAAAGTCAACAGGACCGGATGAACTACATCCTAAAATCTTGAGATAAATTACACCATATATTGCTGCTACATTTACTGCGTTGTTCAATATGTTACTTGGCCAATGTGAGTTGCTTATGGACTGGATGGATACATTCGTCACTACGATACATAAAACAGAATCAAGACAACTCCCATTAAATACACACCTGTCAGTCTCACCAGTGTCGTAGTTTAAATACTAGAAAGAATAATCAAAATATCGATGTCATTCGTAAAAGCCAACAATATGTTAAACAACGAAAAACATGGTTTCCGGAAAGGTTTATCTTGCACAAGTCTATAGTGGCACTGGGCTTCAATCCTCAAAGCTAAACATGAAACCATTGGAAGAATAGATATTCAACGTTTAACGCGAGAAAAAACCCAACGATGAGAAAGCGGGAACGAAAATTGAGAGAATGCAAACTGATCGGATGACATATCTCGACCTTTAAGGCATGGTCGCTCTGTAAAACTCGCTGTTACTCATATTAAATATTTTGTTCCATCTTCAGCCTGAATGTGTTCTCCATCATATTGTAATTGTTACGATACGATGAGTCAGTATAGACAATGATGTGACTTCCACGAAAGATCTTATAGATTAGGCAGTTACGTCATGACAAATTTGCAATTTTAGGATTGAGTCTATTATTAGAGCAGCACTGATATCATAGTAGATCATAATTCTACAAGTCTATTTGTAGCAAGAGAGAACTTGATCGAGCCCAAAGACAATGGAAAATCAGTGGATGATGTCTACATAGACTTCAGCAAATCATTTGGTAGGGTGTCAAATAAAACTACTCTTTAAACCGGAAAGTTTAGGCATTTCCGGATCCTTTTAAAACGGCTTAAGGATTTCTTGGCAGGTCATAAATAGAAAGTAAGAATAAATTCTAGGTGTTTCGCCCGAAAACCAGTACTTAGTGGAGTGCTGCAAGGCTCTGTCATAGGTCCTTTGCTTATTACACTGTGTGTAAATGGACTCCCAAGTATAGTTTGGTTCCCAATGTTACTATACACTGACAATGTGGAAGCCTTGCGAGAAATAACAAGAGATACAGACAAATGCGCACTTCGGACAGACTTCGGTATTCTGATTGCCAGGTCTGGGAAATGGCTGGTGCCTATCAACACGGCAAAGTGTGTCTACATGCTCTTTGTGGATACAAAGGTGAATAGACACAGAATGGAAGAATTGCCTGTATCCGTGATCTAGTCTCACAACGGTCATGTGATTACAGTGAGTTGTGACCTTAAGATCGCGGTCCACTTCTGGGAGGCTACAACTAAGGGGTTCCGAACACAATGTGTTTCAACACGGACATTCATCAAATTTGATACTACCATATTCGCTACAGTATATAAAACCTAAGTGAGAAATAAGCTTGAGAACTAAGTTCACACTGCAAGCTTCTGCATAAAAGTTGACTCGAATATCCTGGAAAAATACAGAGGGCAGCTTCATGCGCGATTTCAGGACTCCAGTGTTTGTCATGTAAAGAGCGGATTTAAAAGCTAGATCTCACTACTCTGTCTTGCTGCAGATTGAGAGGTGATCTGATTTTGACGTACAGAATACTGAGAAATGATTTTGGGCCTAATATGTTCTCTCTTTTTCTACCTACCAGATCAAGGCAACTAGAGTACATAACTGTGAGTAGAAAAGCCAAGAACGAACAAAATACCTACGGTATACAGGTTTTCGCATGGATTCATCAATTATTAGAACCTTTTACCCGAAGCAATAGTGTCCGCACTTTCAATTGACTCATTCAAAAGAAGACCAGGCACTCACAGAATCTTACTAGAAAAGGAGTAACATATGCCAAAGGCCTTCCGTCAACACTACACAGATCAGAAATCTGAAAAAGTACTTGAACTAAAAATAACCCCACTATGCCCCCTTGGAAGCTCCTAATTTACATTCATTGTGGTACGTAAGAATAAAACGTGTCGTACTGCTCACAATTCTCTCCTTATGAATAGAGCACTGATACACTTCAGTCGTAAACCACTCCTAAGTGGACATCCACTCAAGATGGAACATGGAAGATCTTGCAGAAAAATACGTGATGGTTTTCCCGAAATTCAAACCAGCAGACCATGGAAGTCTCTGTCGAAGGCTTTTGCGTTATCACCCTCTGCTGATTATTTCAAAAGAAGATTCAACGACTACTTCGATTCTACAGGTACAAAGCGGGATTACAATGTTACTTCACTATCACTTCTATCACCAACTTTCTTTGTTCTGTATTTAGTGTGAGGAATATGACAGGGATCATTCCCTTGCCATAACCAATAGCCACCTCCAAAAACAAATAATTCGCTGATTTCGACTAGAAAAGTTTGGACGTTCTGACCTACGCACACTAACTGGCGCTATGTTTGGTTTTTCGCGCGTTTGTGTATTGTGTCCTTTATATACCTACATAAGCTCAGTGGTGTGAATATAGATGAATAACGTTCGAACCTTAATTAATGGAATAAGTGCTGAACCTAAATAAATTTTCTGTTCCATAATATGCATTGGGATAGTGAGAATATTTAATCGGTGAGACCACCATTTATGGACGAACCAATCAGATATAAGATAACGAGTCACAAATTTGGGCCCAAAATTCACCCATACATTTGGCCAAATGGAGTTTTGGCCTTATAGCTGACATCAGTTCGAGATGAAAACCCTAAATCTTATATTTAACCCTGACCATCAACTATAAATGAGAATTCTGACTACTCTATAACCCTCATCTAGTCCTAATTTGTTGTTCACTCTCAATATCACTTCAGCGTCACTTAAATGTCGTTCACAAATCATAGTCTCACCAATCTCCGTATTTTAGGGGGATCTCCAAAGGCCATGGCCATCTATTGTACGATAAGCTTAGCATTTTTAGTTTTATGTGCACAGAACTCTTTTCAGGAGTTCTTTGTTTCCTTATAAACGAGGACTGCGTCCGAGGTTGATGTCATATTGCCAGCTGGTTTATCATAGATTAAAGAGTTTCTAAAGCCATGTTATGCGCACAAGTAGCAAGTTCTTGAAGCATTCTTCACGGCTTTCATAATAGTTTGCGTAGTATCCTCACCTGTTTAGTGATTAACGACTTCATCTTTGACTACATTAGTGAACTTAGTTTCTGATTTTTTGATCGCGGTAACCGACATTCGGTTTAGTTGTAAAGTACAGTGGATAACCAGCAGTGAAGTTCTGATCCCAGCTAGGAATTCCTTAGTTTGTTTGAATATTATTAGTATAATATTTGTTCAAATATTAGTCTTATTTGGTTGTATTTTCTGGACCTTAGTGCTGACGTCCTAGTTTTACGTCCACCTCCATATTTTGATATCTTTGGCGTGCACTAAACCAGAGAGGTCGATTCCCAGTAGAAATTTGGGCTCAGAGCCTTCACCCGGATTCCTCTATTATGTAGTGTTTTCTAATTAAACAGCTTGTGGTTAACCTGTTCTGCTTTCATCTAGTTTAGAAATACATCATGGTTAATCCCCACTATAGTCTTTTCTGTGGCAGTGATTCAGTGACTAATTTTGTCTTGGGTAGTTCGTTGGTAAAGAATACTGTCAATAAAGTTCCACTGTGGTCACCGTTAACCTCTGATTGCCTAACACCACTATTCACTTCTTTTGGGGATGCGTCACTATATAAACAGTTCAGTTATTCCACTATTCAGTTATTTGGGTGTTCTATACACTTCCATTTTAGGGTTCGTATTTTGTACATAAGTCTATTACTAGAGTCTTATTGAGTTTTTAAACTTGGTTCTTCATGGTACATCATAACTGTTATTGACTATATGTCCTGTGTTTTTCAAAGTGTTTTATTTGTTCTCGGGAGTTTTTTATTTGATAATCAACTGATCTATCTCCTCTAGTATCGGTTTTTTTTTCGATCAACACACCGTTATCAGCTAGACTTGTCTATAACGCCGTTAGTGAGTAACGGAATTCAAAATCATGTTTCATGACATCATTTGCTGCAGTCATAAGATCTCATTCCATCTCCCGGGACTTAAAAGGTTGAATTACCTATTTTTAAAGTTTAGGACAAACTAGTACGAAAGTAAGGATTTCATAGGCGAAGCTGGATAAAAATATCCTTCGAATCCCCACTACCTTTTTCGAAACACCTAAGCAAACAACGTTCGTCGGCTCTGTTAAATTTCAGCTCTTCTGTATAAATTATGTGGTCTATTGGTGGGATAACTTGCTCTGGAATTGGCATATGTTCTCATTTAGTAATGGCCATTAATTAATCAATGGTATCGTCTTAAAGAATCTTTATCGATGAAACGCGTAGGTTTCCAGTTTTCAGTAGCAGGTACTTTCAGTGCGTTGATTTCTTACGGTAGTTATCTAGCAAGAAACAAATACAACCGATGTCTGTAGGTATGGTAAACGCTTTTCACCTTCTAGAAACAGTAATTTTAAAGGATTGCCAGGATCCTGTGTCCCCACTTACTCTTGGTGAAAAGTCGTTAGAAATAGTCAAAAATCTCGTATACTTTGGTAGTTGTGTGAGCGTTGGTGGTGTGTGAGTAACTAGGCATATCTGTCTTGATATATGAATAAGAAATTAAGTGATTGTTGGAGCTATATAGATGGGAAATCAAATGTCCGGCACTATGTAAATTAATTTGAGAACAATAAGGCCGGTACAAGTTGACCCATAAGAAAACAAGCGTAAAGTTACTTATTAAAAAATATATATTTTAAATGGTAACTGTTGATTATTTCCTGAGTGCTAGTTTTCTTGAATTAAGATGTTATGTATATTCAAATTACAAATTGCCTGTTACCAATTTCTTCTTTGTATAACCCTAGCCTTCAGCTGATCCATACAACTCTCCAGATACCAAGTAAATACTTCGTTACAAGAATTAGGTGATGGAGCCTGTTTATAAGCGGTTGAACGCAGAAATAGAAAAAGCACAAGGTATTCAAAAAGAAATACAGAAGATTTTCCAGCTTCATCGTCAGTTATCTGCCCAGCTTTCTGAGAATGAAAACGTTATTGAAGACTTTGGGTTACTAAATGAATCCAATGCTATATACAAACTTGTTGGTCCAGTTTTAGTCAAACAGGATTTATCTGAAGCTAAAGAAACAGTCAATAAAAGGATAAGCTACATAACATCTGAAATGTAAGAACTCACTTGTCATATTCATCCGGCATTTTAGAAAACGTCATGATGATAGGATAAAAGAACTGGAAAAACAGCAGGAGAATTGCCGGGAACAGATAAGCAAATTACAACAAAAACTTCAACAAGAACACACGAAAGCAGCACTAAAGGCTTAATGCAACAGGATACACAAAGTTATGTGAATGATAAAACTCTAGAATTTTCTTTATTTTTTATGCTGATTAAGAGTATAATCTGCATTCAGTCTAGAAAACCCTCATGAGTCTGCTAGTGTCATCTTTATTTTTCGTATTTGTAGCGGAGAAAAACCTACTCGGGAATTTGGTTTTTTGATTACTACAACCTTTCGATGGAAAAAATTATCTTGTCAGCATTTTACCGCTGGAAGCTAGAATTGTTTCGAAAATTAGTGGTTGTGTGGACCTAATCTCCATGCGTATTGTATGTAGTTTTTGAATCAAATGGAGGGAGACTTGGGGACGATTTCCTCCAACAATTAAGAGAAAACACCTAGATAGCTGTTGTATCCTAGCTTGAAACATCGTAGCTCCCCCACGATCCCACATAAAATGAAGTCTTGGATTATTAGCTTTCTTCGTAACCACAATACTTTCAAGCCACTACTCGAGAATCCGGCACTATACCTTATTGGCTTTCGTCAATATGTAATATGCTATAATCCTCTGATTACTGCTTTAACAATTTCGACCTGGTTAGCTCCGTAGGTGTTAACTTTTCATTAGAAAATTTGAAAATGTACCTCAGAACTAGTAAACAAAAGATATTGGATTGTCATTTAACTAAATAGATTTGAATTCAAGAAATGATAAACTCTCAAGATTTACTTGAAGTATAAAAACGACAATAAAACTAGTGTACTTTATTCAGTTCCGCAACTATTATTTAGTGAGCAGATAGAAGGGAAAACAAACATAAATAATGTGATCATATATTGTGTGATTAACAGACCAAATGCGACAAAAATACCTTAGGCATCATCCTATTTGGGTTACTAATTTTATGTCGTGGGGGATTTTTATTCTCATCGTGTATTAGAATGTTTTGTGTTACTAATGTCTGGTTCTTGATCAGATGGGCCGACAATGGTATATAGTTACAACCTAGCTTACCCAAGCTATAGCAAACAAGTTTTACAGTTGGTGCTTTTGAATAATGTCATAAATTTGTTGCGTCCATATGACTCGCGGATACCGTAAGCCGTTATTATCATGGACATTCCTATGCTCATTGTAATTCACTTTTTGATAGTATACTACCTAATATGAATAGTTTCCAAGTTTTTTGTACATTCACCTCAACCCTAATATTGTGACTTCAATTTCGACATCCATAAGTGTAAAAGGTTAATTTTGCATTGAGTGATTAGCACTTGTGGAAAAATTCAACAGAAACTACCCCAGCTAGTAATACTCGTTAAAAATGTAAGCAATAAATCGTAGCCAAAAGCTTCCCAATTAATAACACTTGAAGGTGCCCCAAAACGTTTTTTCTGTCCATGTAACTAGGAGTGGTATGGCGGTGAGCGAATGTGTGGTGGGTTGTCAGTGGCAGAATCATTGGAGATGATTCCAGGCAAGTTGCGATCCGTTATCTGATACTAGTGTCCAATATCATATTCCGGGAAGGAGTCTCCGTCAATATCTAAAGAGTCTTACGTGTTGTTATTAGGACTAGAAGAACAATGCACCGATGAGGATGTGATGCCATTGATTAAGCCTCTTGAATTTGTGTCAAATCGACCATAGGACTGGGTCCTCTCCATTATTGAGTTTCGCTGTTTGTTAACACACCGTAGTCGTTCGCAAGTCCAAAACGTGACTTATGAACAGCCAGTAGGCAAAACTAGCGATGAACTTCATACAAATTTCACCCTGGTGACCGCTGTGTAAATGTAGGAATTGAGGATGGCGGGACTGTAATGCCATCTACAACAAACTCATATAATCTCTTGTGATGTAATCCGAACAGCTACATTTCTGTGTGGGCGATAAGAACAAGTGTATGTCTAATGATGCCGCTCTCAGATTGCCAAAAATGTAGATTACACACTATAAGAACTTGTATTTTGATGTAAGTGTGGTTTTCTATAACAAGTAAAGTATTAGAAGGCTCAATCTCTGAATAATTCTATTTCTTGTTGTTGACTATTGACCCATCTAACTCAATAGACTCTGAAGCTTTTCTTTACACATGTCTTAAGGTCTGGCTACCAATACCAGGCACGGATAATATCTAGGATGTTCAAGAAGACCCAAATAAAGTAAGCGAATGGACTACCAAAAACATCATGCCCTCTAAAACAATACAAAATCTCGAATCACACTTCCTACTACTGAATAGGAAGGAAGGGTCTTTTTCTAAGGTATTCTATGTGCCTCTTCGCATTGATATTTTGCAGTCAATAAAGCATACTCACCATTCTGAATGTATCTAGAATAGTTGGTATCCTAACTCTGGAGTTATTCCAAACTGTTTCCAGTGCTTGCAGACAATGTCTAGTACTTCATTCCCAATTGTCCTAAGAAAATTATTACTGTCGTAGGACGTCTTTAAGAACAGTGGTATTTTCTCTCGTTAAGATAATTTTACAGTATTGATTGTTTATTACGAATCAAGACTACAGTTTTGGCTTTAATTGAATTTATTTCAGTTAAAGCAATAGCCAAGGGTATCGTTTGTATTCTAAGGTGGCTTATAGCCTGTAATTATTGAGTACAGAAACGAAATGGGCAGTGATATTTTTCCTCGTTGAGTAAATCTTTTAGTATTGTTTGTAATCAAAGGTGTAAAGACTTACTTATTCATTTAAATCGGATCTTTGTTTCCAGTCACAGTAACACATAAGCTTCAGCTTATCGTGTTTAATGTCTATCACCTATAAAGCCTTGAAAAATATTTATTCTAGAGATCAGATTTTGTTGTTCTCTTTCTGAGATCAATAACAAATTTTATGGCTCAAGTTAAAAATCATTGTATTAGATCTGCATGCGTTTTCCCAGTTGAAAATGGAATGCAGTAGATAACTGCAACAAGTGGTATCACAACATGTAAACTGGATGCACACCGAGTGCATATAAAAGATGCTGAAAGCCATAATCACGTCGGCTGTGCAAAGCATAATGCTCTACGAAGTCTTTGCTGCTTCTTGAGGCTATTGAGCTGCTGGAAATAGCTAAAAAGACGAATTCAGATAAACAGACAGCAGCGGATGAACACTTTTTGGTTTTCGAGGAAGCAGCGAGCGTTATCATGAGCCAAGCTTTGGATTTGAATGAAACCATCAGTGTGGACGCCGATAACGTAGGGGGTAACAAACTCATAGATGTAGGCATCGTCGCCAGAAAAAAGAATATGCATACTGGAAAGAAAGAAACTATAGGGAGCTTTAAAATATATGAGTTGACGGTTCCTGCTTTGGATCCACATATCGATACAAAACGAACCATTGAGGAGCAAAGCCTGAGAGGTCTAGATGATGTGACTAAGTGACATAACAAGGTCAATGCATGGTTTATAGTTACACCCAGACCTAAGTCACATTAAATTCTTAATGAGCAAGCTAATTCCAGAAACAGTAGCTGGAGTTAGCATATATAGGCCTTATGCAATAGGACAAAAAGTGGTTTCTGAAAGTACGCAGAAAAGCCGCCTCCTAAAAGTTACGTTTGCTTCTGCTGAAGAAAAGAACCTGATACTGAGAAACTCACTCAAACTGACTGGATCAGGACTAAATGCCCGTGGGGATCTCGGCGTGATTGATCGTGTTAAAAGGCGATCGGCAGAGGTAGAAGTAAATGTGCGAAAACTGACCGGTGAAAGACATTATAATTGAGGGTTTCAACCTTCCAAAGGTTAGAGGTAAAACGATCCCTAAAACACTCTGAGTGGTAAGAAAAACTTCTTCACAGAACTAGAGGTGTACTATGCAAATGATCGCAGCTTGCATAATAAAATGAAAGGGCTGAAAACAGGTGCGGTCACAAAACCCTGGTGTCATTGCCATCTCAGAAACATGGTTAACATCCGAAGTGTATGATAGTGAAATTCAATTTTTTTGGTTTTATACCTTATAGAGCTGATAATCTAAACCGTAGGGATTGTAGGGTTGTCCTATACACTAAAAGTACCCTAACTTTTTGGGCCGTCGAGACAGTGGCATGCGAACTAGGGACATGTGAACTGGTTCTCTGCAGGCTGAAATGTTGACGACAATATATTGAATTAGTTGTAGTTTACTGCAGTCCATAACAAACTGAAGTCCTGGTGTAAAAGGAGTAAAAGGCTTATAATAGGCTACTTTGATTCACCGTTTATAAATTGTGGAAACTTAAAAATAGAGTAATCATCGACGTAGTTTGGTTACAAATTATTAGAAACCCCGATTACCCTAACTTTATTCCGGCACATTAGAGATCCCACTGGATATGACCTGCATCGACACCTCTTCTTTTGTCTTAGTCTTAGTCTATCCAGGGATGACTGTACTTCTTCTTTGAGACTGTCCAGTGTAAAAATGGTTGAATCACTTGATTATATGCCTGCCGGAAATGAGTCTGTGCCTTTTCTTCTGTTCACTTGAGTCAATTATCCAGTTTTCAGTTGAGTCTGTGGAGATGAAAGTCTTCATGCTTACCTTCCATGTGTTAGGACGAACCGTCGTAACTATTTGACGAGCCATCTTAGCCATGAACTTGAATAAGATGACTGCCTGATCACTTCATCCTAAAGGTGATAAAAAAGTCATTCCACTGGCAATATCCGTCTGTGAAGGTTAGGTCCAATATATAATCTACAAAACTCTCAATCTCTCTTCATTATCTTGGAGATCTGAAATAATAAAAAAATGTCAGAAAAAAGCAGAGGCTATGACAAACTAGTTTGGGACAAGTTTTACTCAGCAATCTATTCTAGACGAATATAAAGTCAAAAAATAGTCTTCTCATTGCAAACTTTGATCAAGATGACGCGCTTAAGGCCTTTAAAGAAAAGTCAACAGGACCGGATGAACTACATCCTAAAATCTTGAGATAAATTACACCATATATTGCTGCTACATTTACTGCGTTGTTCAATATGTTACTTGGCCAATGTGAGTTGCTTATGGACTGGATGGATACATTCGTCACTACGATAC